GTAAAAACACAAATATTCAATATGGCCATTTCTGTTCTACAGGAGATATGTGGTGTTGGCTACTTAAATACACTTGGTTGATAGTTTGGAAATTATCTGCTTACTGTATGATTGTCAGACTTTAGTAAGGTATTTCGTAATTTAGTGTTTAAATGCATTCGATTATCCCCACTCTTGTTCTTGTTTACTACAGGTCAACCCCTGTCAGATACGCTTTGAATGTGTTACTCGGAAAAGCGTATTTAGTTGTGAACCCGCGACATGTCTTATCAAAAGTTTTTAGAACCCGAGAAAACTTCAGAAATAATTCGTCCAACCAGTGCTGAAACGGGACCTCTCAGTGAGATCTGGAAAAATATATGATTATGCGTCACACATTGATTAAGTAAATGGCACTTCATTCACTCCTCTCAGTATGCTTGCAGAACATGCAGAATAACAAACGTACCCGAAAGCAATCAAATAATCTTGTTTTCGGTAAATAAGTAAACTGGGAAATAGGTTTTATTCTCATGCAACTTACTTTCAGTTTTGACCTCAGAAATACCAAGAAGAATTACCAGGAGTATCAAGTTTCAGTTTCACAGTGAATATCAGATCTCTCAAGATGTAATACGCATTTTCTGATGAATTTCAGTTAACATGAAACACAATGTTTCTTACAAATGATTGTATACACGTACAATCAAAAAAGCATAATATGGTGCTGAGTCACATAGACCAGTAATGTCATAGTAACTTTGTCGATAAGAGTCAGTCAGCACTGTCGTGTAGACAAATTATTAAGAGACAGTTAAACATAAATTTCTATCAAACTCGTTAATTGGAAACGTAAATAATCAGATCTCTTGAACTTTCTCTGCTTTTTTCTATGAGAATTATTCCTGCCCTGCAATTTTCACAAGTTTATAACACTCTTTTTTCATTTCTTCCAAAAATTTGTTCAACCGGTATTTGTTAAGTTAATGGAGGATAGTCAAGTAGGTAAGTCGTCAGAAAGGCAAGTCTGTGAGTATCTGAGGTTAAGTAAAGAATATCTCGTATTTCAACAATCACAAAACATTATTCATTCGATGTTAGCGTATCCATTTGTTCATATATGTCCATAAGTGTACCTCTTTTATTAAACTCAAAGAAGCCAAATTAAGCAAAAATAAATGAACTGAACATTGAAATCACATGTGAATGAACTTGATTTTATCATAATAGTTATTATTCTGATGTCATTTGTTGGAACGTGTTTTTTCAGCAGTCATCATCTTTCTGGAACACAAACTAAATTAATTTGGAGAAGAATTACTTCATAAGAGAAATAATTAGGCCAAAGAGAGAAAGAAGAAAAGAATATGAAGCCGTAGGAGTATTTTTATTTTTAAAAAATTAGTCTTCTCACCATAATTGAAGTAAAAAAAATGCGAAGTTGGATGGTATCAAGTAAAGGGTGAAAGGATATGTAACGCTGTACTTGGATTTATTCTAGATGACTAGTTTCTTTGCATACATTGTGTGTAAAAGTTAAAAAATTAGTTTCTGAAATGATATTGTTGAGCAGATAGTTATAGATTTCGTGAATACACTGATGGTAACATCTGAACTGAAGATATGTGACGAGACTTCGAGTCCTAGAAAAAGCATCAATCCTGTCAGCATTGTTGGTTTGTCTTGTTGAGTTGGGCCAAATAGCATGAAACCTAGATCAACCAGATATTTCTATCGATCCGATTAGTGTCCACACTGTAACTTGATGATTAGAACTCTATCAGTGCTGATAGACAAACATGATATGTGCTGCTACTCACTGATCTGTGGTTTGTGTTAAACTCTTTTTATCAACTTTTGGCTTAGGTTTTCTGATTGTCTAAATGGGATGCTTGCATTGGTCTTTTTCATCACTATGAATGTAGGTGAAGCTTTTTCGCATAATAAATAGTCTACAAAATTTCTCTTACATTTTCCTCTCTTCCACATCCATTCATATATATTTGTGCTTTCACTACTCAAGCATATAGTCTACGCAAAAGCTAGATCCAAACCGTCTAAATACTGAATGTGAGATAGTATCATTTAAAGAGTTCAGCTTGCAAAGGAATATATTAGTTGTACTTTCAAAACTGAAAAATAGAAAATTCACGGATATTAGAGATGAATTCCCAACACCAAATCGGACAAAGAAGACGCGACCTTCATCCTTGTCCACACAAACTTCAGCTAGATATTAGACACCATCATGTATCGTTGTTTACATCAATGCACGTGGACAAATCTGAAGACATTTGAGACTGAGAGAATGTTGAAATTCGTGATAGAGAGAACAAATGGAATACCAGAGAATCATTAGAAGCCAAAAAATCACGTCAATCTGAAATCAATTAACACATCAGAATCTATCTAATTTACTTATCAATCAGAGAAATCTTGGACAGTTATAGAATCAGTAAACGGAATACATTCAATGTGATATAAACTAAGAAGGCCTGGTTCAGTGAAGAATTCTACTTACGACAAATCCATTTACATAGCTGTAAATTTGTAATCAATCACCCTCATAAGCGTTGTTATTTAAAACTAAACGGTGTTTGTAATCAGAATGCAATATGAATCGTCAACTACAGTTTATAAGCAGATAGCACAGACAACAAAGTAATAAGCGCATTGAGCTAATTTGATGCAGAGAAGCGAATGTGTGTGCGAGGGATCTGCACTTGCACAATAAAGATCCATATCGATGAAAGGTGGTTTCCCTCGATCGATGCTGACCACATTAGTCTTCTCAGCTTTTTCTACCGTCACCGTTTCATTGGTCTCTTTAATCTTTCTGAACGGACCATCGCACTTTTGTTTCAATTGTGGTTGCAAGCGGCCTCTTCTGATGAATACATAAGTGCTACTGTATAGCTGCTGCAGCCCGAATACTCGGCGTTCTTGTGACCTTGAGAGGTTTGTTTTTAAATCATTCACGAGCCTCTTAATTCGCTGTACTTAGTTGGGTACATCCATCAAAACACTCTTATCTTAAGCGATAAACTTCCAATGTAAGCATAAAGAAGTTCCGTACACCAACTCAGCCGCACAGCACCCAATTCCTTGTTTTGGTGATTTTTTTAGACCTGACATGACTAGAGGTAGCTTATTTGTCCGGTCGTTATTAACAATGACGGTGTTTGAAGATGTCATTGACCGTCTGCGTAGGCGTTCACATATACTTTCTTTCGCTATGATTTAGGAATGAATTGTCGCAGTTGTTTTTTACGTTTTGACATCTTATTCATGACTGTCTCCAGCTATGCACATCGCGATTCATGTTTGTTAATAAAAAACGTTCGCTGAACAGCTTCACCGTAGATTTTATTGCCGGATTTGACATTTTGTACATACTTTTAAATACCATCTGTCTCGATGATCTCTAGATGAATGGTCGCGGTCGGTCTGTCGAAATATCAAATATCAACTTTGCATTACTAAACTGAACATCTTCCAATACTGGTGATATCATATCCAAGGATCTTAGCTTGCGTTACTCAATGTCCGTCTCTTGTAACTTCGCCACACAGTGATAATAGATTCTACTTGAAATTAGTGCATTTATCGTTGTTCTTGATAGTTCATCAGTTACTTCGTTTGCCTGGCCTTCAATATATCGTATATCGGATGTGAACTGGAAGATAAGTCTTAACTGACTGATTTCCCTTAGAGAATAATTATCTTGCTCCTTTCTGAATGCTTTCGTGAGCGATTTGTGATCCATGTACACAATGGAATTTCTACCTTGTACTTTATGTCTAAATTGTTCTGTTGCCAAATAAATTCCCGTTAATATTCTTCTGAAAGTACTATATCTCGTTTGTGTAAGATTCAATATCTTCGAGAAAAATGTGAGCAGTTCCCACGTGCCGCTCACTAACTGTTATGAAACGGCTCCTGCCGCCCTATTCGATGAATCGGTCGTGAAAGCTCATAGAGTTTCGCTCTTTCGCCTAGTCAGCTTCGTTTCTTCGTTAAGTACCCTCTTGGCATTTTCGAATGCTTGCATCACCTCTGCTGATAGATGGGATGTCCGTGCATGTCAAATCTTGCGTCAGTCTATGATAAAAGTATAGATGCACAATATAGCGTCTATGATAATGTTTTAGCCTTAGAAATCGCCTTTACCATTTCCGACGGTTGGTAACCGATAGTGTCGAACTTCTAACTGAAGAGAAATTTACGAAAGGACTCTATAGGTTAGTTGAACGCACATCATCAAACTGCTTCAACAGTCAAGTTGAGAGTTACCATTCTCGGAGTAAAGTGAAATGAGGTAGACATGAAGACACATTGTGTCGGAAATCTGAGGCAATCATTAAAACTATGAAAAGCGCTTGACAATGACTGGATAGTATAGTCAACGATAGAGTTGTTCGCAGAGTGCTTATCTGAGGTTTATGTTCCACGAGCGGTAAAGGACCTGAGTGTGAGGAAGTGATTAGGAATATTAATGAATAGTTGACAAGTTAGTTCGAAAAGAAACGAATAACCGTATAACGCTTATCGTTCATCAGGTAAAATACATAGATTATTCAGATACATATATACCTGGATATTACTTTTGGAAATCGTCCGATCATAGAAATAAAAACCATAGTGTATTGATAAAATTGTCTTATAATTAGCGGGAGACAAATATTTTCAGTTTATTATTTTTATTTGAAAAGGTCGCCTGATTTCATATTCTCTCTCTCATCTGACAGCACTAATTAAATTCTGACAACACCAAATTCATTCATTATAGTTGAGTTTGACCCAGAACCAGAGAATTTGTTCATTTGAAATTATTTGATGGTCGAATATTCTTTTCTAGACGCTTAATTATTGTCAAAGAAAATTTGCAGTGTCTGTTTTACTTTATTCTCTCATTAATTATTGCATAGTTTCTTAATTTTAATTGCGATGTTTGATCTTTTCCATGCTAAACAATACTCACCCCTTCCATTCCACCTTCATTTTCTGATTGTATATAAGCAGAAGAATAAATGAGGTAGTTTCAGTGAATATGGTTTGCTTAGTTTCGTTTCACGTAGCTGCTCTGCTTTTGCTTCTTCATACGTCCACACAGACGGGTAAGTATTCACTATTATTTAAATACACTTTTACAATTACATCCTGAAATATTCACATCTGATACAGTGCACAAACAGAATCATAACACCGTCATTTCCGCATTCACTAACCTCGTCATATGTCTTCTAACACGTCTTCAATCTGATTGAAACCGGGTGTCATTTACGTGGATTGTTGTGCTTTGCATTATGTTTGAGCATGTTTCTCTCTTTCCTAAATTTGTAGCTTGTGTCTACTTTCTGAATAGTGCTAAGACAGGTTCCAGACATAAGAAAACTATTTCTGAGTCAAAATATTTATTTCTGTTGAAAACTATTCGTTGATATTCAATCATTGATGTTCATCTTTCAAGTATCATAGTAATAATCGTCCACCAGAACAAACACAATCACCAATCTTCAGTCAGTGAATAATTTATCAATTTGCTTTTTGAAATCACAAACCGATCAACACAAATAACATTCCACTTCTCGTTGAAATTTATATGACACAATTGAAGTTGCTCAACAACCCATAAGACGCAATGTTACAATGAATAAGTGGGTGGTCAATTGTTCTGTTGACCGATAAACGCTTGAAACAAATTTGTAAAGAATCACTCGCTTTAATGATAGTGTGAGAGGCCTTTATTGAATAATGTTTTCAATCCTGATATTGACATGTCCAAAGTGACCTGACTCAGTGCATTTGAGTGTGAACATCAGTTTACAACAATCAACGGAATTATTGTGCCATATTCTGTTTTTTTTCACAGATGTCCAATCGAAGCAACTTGATGAATTAAAAGCAAAGATTTCTAGGACTTCAGGCAAGTAACGATTGTTTTGAATGTTATAAACTATATATCATACAATCGATTGTGTTCATAAGGCACACGTTGTTACCCATTACTTGAATAAAGAATAATTGGGTCCATTCGTTTGTGTTTGACGACTCCAATTTCAAATATGTATAAAAGTGTGTTTGAAATCATATCACCTCATTTATTATTTGCTGAGACTTGTGTGATGTTCTGTAATATAGTGACTATAATATTTTTCTTCGAAAAGACATCGTTTTTTCCATGTTACTGATAAATGCATTGACAGGTAAGTAATATGAATGTTCAGTACCGAACTTGATAATAAAACTCAATGTCGTGATTGTGTATTGTAAATCTTTAGAATGGATGATGGAGTTCATAAAGGATATCAGATCCTACGACCGCAAAATAAAATCTCTGATAGGTAATTTGATTATTCAATCCGCAATGTTATAACTTTATGCACGTCTGACTTTAAAATAAAAAAACTACACACAAAAGGTGTACGTCCGTGCTCAGCATTTCTAGTTGTTTGACCGATGTGACTGTATTTAAACTTTCAAGATTTATAAGTATCATTATTAAGAAAGTCAAACTAATGCTATCACGTTCAGTTTCACCGTAAAACCTAATTTCCTCACTGTTTGCACACTCATGAAGTCATTAACACCATTAAAATGAAGAAGAGAATATAGTTTGTTTATTTGAGCCTTCTTGGTAGTCCTTTTTGAAATTCACAGAGGTTTTCATTCTTGGTAGGCTGTAAACAATCGATGAGAGTCTGTAAGTGCACGTGGTTAGTTGACATGAATATTAATTTCAAACAAATATGAAAAACGAAATTATTTCACACATTTTACTGTTTACAGAAGTGTTGGTTCAGACGTTTGTCCAGGCATCAACTGTCTTAGTACCCACGATCAATATGGTGAATTGAGTAAAGGAAATTCCAGTGCGACGATAGTGTGATCTGAGGAAATTTTAGATGTTGCTGATGTCACATTTCCTCTAACCTGAAAAGCTATCTACCTTGCCATTATTGTTCATTATTCTGACTAGTAGAATGTGTCGTTAGTGTCACAACAACTAACTTCATTCATCTTATTTCTGTTTGATCAACTTATAAATAAGGAGATCGTAAAGAAGTGCCATTTTCTAAAATGAAACTAGATTACCTTGTTCTTTAATTGAGTTGCTCTACATTGGCGTGTTTATTTCAGATAAAATCAGAAAATCAGATCCCAATGCAATGAAGAAAATCGATGAGTGTATGTGAACAATGATCCAATTCTCTAATTACATTAATGATTTCAGATATCAAGTGTAAAACTGAATATTATGCCGCTGATGGAGCAATTAAATCTTGGTCAAGTAACATAAATGTTTCTCATACAGTGGTTTAATTTTCATTCAGTATTTATTTGTTATTCACATCCATGCTGATTTTTTAAATCCACTGACCAGCGAATCCATCTCATGTGTGAAAGTGAGCAAAGTCCAACGTTCGAAGATTTCATCCTTACATTATAAGTTTACAACATGACTGATGCCAGTAATTTGGCACCCTGTAGTTTATCTTCGATAATTCTGCAAAATTCTACTACTTCTCTCCAACAGCAAGTACAGGCTAAACATTTTGGTAAAATAGTTTTCTTAGGATGAGAGGTTTCTGAATGTAGTTTTGTTACTGGATGTTCTTCATTGAAGTGTTGAACCTTGATATGTGTGCTCAATATTTCCAGTTGTCTCTGTATGATAAATTCTATAGAATACCATAAATAATGCATCGAATCGGAATGTGAGTGCGAAATCACATCACAACTGGTGAACTTGATCCACTGTAAGTTTTATTCTGACATTGTGAGCAAACATACTGTAGAAGTAGTCATTTGACAAAAAAGTGTCTTTCATTGGCGCTTGAAATCTCCCATTCATCAACACAACAAGCAGGATAATCAACAATTGTCTGAAGAGATTGAGGATTGTCAGCGGAGTTTCAATTCAACATCCATAAACACCAAGTTTATAACATGCAGATATCGTGGTGAAAGCCAAGATTTTAGACAAGTAAAACGTTGTCGATTGATTTTTTGAAAGTTTCAATACGTGTCAAGAGAGTAGTCGAAATAATTCCAATAGTTTCACCCTCGATCTACATTTCTATGTGCAGTCAATGCGCAATATACTCAGTCGTCCATCAAACCACATTCAATTATCACTTCATCAGACATAACTAAATCATAAACCAAGTTATTTTTTATCCGCTTTATTGCTTTCTATAGCTATCCAAAATTTGCGGAGGAATTACGAAAAAGAATATTGTAAGTTATTTTAATAACCGAATAGTTTTCAGCATTTGAATAACATTGACATAATTTACAGACTTTCTTTTGATAATATAAATTAAAGCGGAAAATAAGAAATACCGCCTCGCACAACTTCGAAAGTTCTTCAAAATGAATGATGCTATGCATTTGAATTAAATCTATTTAGCATAAGATGTCTCATATTGACCGATTCATGATGTCAATCAAATACTGTGATATATTGAGTATTAGTGATCTAGCATTGATCAATTCATGATGTCAATCGAAAACATAACAATCTTCATATTCTACAATGCTATTGAGTATTCGTTTAACTTCTTTTGTTCTATACAGCGCATGTTAATTTCAATTCATCCATTCAATTCATCAATTCATTGGAAGCAACTTATAAGGAAAATGCTGAGCGCTCTGAAAGTAAGTCAAAATATTCAATCGCACGCAGTTTATTCCTATCCATCTCAAATAATAACGACTTCTTGTATTTTCATCTGATCTAATCCATGTTATTAGCCTATCAATAACTACACGTCATCTACGTGATCATAATGAAAGAAAATGTATTTCACCTATAGTCTTCCCCAACCTCGACTGTATACATTTTATTTCCATGTCGTCGTTGCTAGTTGCCGCATGCACAATCCAGTGTTTAATTCACATCGATAGTTTATCTGAGATCACATGAAAATCTTGATCATTGTATTCGCTTCTTAATTGTTTGCCGAAATGTGTGTAGGTTCTATGCAATATAGGTACATCATGTCGACATAAATAGCCAAATATTTTGTAGGGCATCTTGAATTGCCAATGAGCTTGCCAAGTGACATTCAAATTTAGAATTTATTCAGTTTTCGTCTACTCATATTTTAAATCTTCACACTGCTGTTTAAGACTACAACTGATCAGCTTGTTTTGGCATTTGTGTTATTTGTATGGATTACCACGATATTGCCACTTAGTCACAAGTGTTTTTAGCAGAAATGGACGGTAGCTAGCGGAATCTCGAAATGAATATCAACCCCAGAATGCAGTGATATTCAGTTGAGAAGTCTTTTTCTCAGTCATCAGTCACCACACATCTCTGCTCATAGTTTATTTACTCCAGTTCAACATGATTTCTGATCAGACTGAATATACAAATAGTGAAGGGATTTTTCTTTCATTTTCTTTGTCCTTCAAATTTTCTTTGATTTCCTAATTAGATATGATGTCTGAGCGCACTTCCGAAGATTGCAACAAGCTGGTACCGTACAGTACAACATGTAATTTCATTTAAATTATTTCTATTGATGCTAATGAATATGATAGACATAATCTTACATTACTTAGTGTAATTCGTTCTCACCACTACTTCCCACTCATCTTCAATTGTGTTTTCTAGAATATGCAATTGTTCTCCTTCAGTACACTGAACTCGTATTTCCTCAATCATCAAATCACAGAACCGCTCATGTCCTGTTTGTGACTAAGTTAAAATAATTAGACATATAAACGCAATAAAACATTCATCAACTTCGATAGTATTGCAATTCGCAAAGAGTGATAACGGATGTTACACTCGTGAATGAAATATTTCATGTTACAGAACAAATCTAGTCAAGTGAATTAAAGGTGAAAGCGTTGAATAAATATTCACATTGACTGTGATAGTTGAGTGGAAATACAGGGAAATAGTTAAGAGTAAAATGTGAATCTACGTTATTCTTCCACAATCCATCCTATCCTCATATATGCTGATTTTCATTACTTTGATGCTGAAAACTACTTGAATGATTTCATCAAATAAGCAATATTTATAAATGATATCCTAACCGATTTTATTTTGTATTTCAGATGTGAGACAAATTAGTGAAAAGCGTTTTATAAAATGCAAGGTTGTTAAAGAATCCGATACCAAATCCGGTAAGATGAAACATTTGAATATTTTGATTGATCTTTTCGGTAACTGTATCATGTCCACATGTGATTGAATAAAACGTGGAAGCATGGACTAAATATTCACAATGAATTTGACAGTTGGGTGCGAATAGGGGTAAATACTATAGAGAACAATGTGAATTTTCGTTATTCTTCCACAATCCATCCTGTCCTCATATATGCTGATTTTCATTACTTTGATGCTGAAAACTACTTCAAATAAGCAATATTTATGGATGATATCCTAAACGATTTCATTTTGTATTTCAGATGTGAGACAAATTAGTGGAAAGACTTCAATAAAATGCAAGGCTCTTAAAGAATTGGATACCGAATCTTGTAAGATAAAACATTTGAATATTTTGATTTATTTATTGAGTAACTGTATCATGTTCACATGTGATTGAATAAAACGTGGAAGCATGGACTAAATATTCACAATGAATTTGACAGTTGGGTGGGGATATGGCGAAAAGGACAATGTGAATCTCCATTATTCTTCCACAATCCATCCTGTCCTCATATATGCTGGCTTTCATTACTTTGATGCTAAAAACATGTTGAATGATTTCATCAAATAAACATTATTCATGGATGATTTCCTAACCGATGTCATTTTGTATTTCAGATGTGGAACAAATTAGTGTACAGATTTATATGAGACACATGGCTGTTAGAGCATTGGATATCGAATCATGTAAGATAAAGCATTTGAATATTTGTATTGATTTAGTGAGTAACTGTCATCTCCACATATAATTGACTGAATAATGGTTATCCACAAACTGTAGTACTATGTGTAATGTCTACGATAGCTTCAACCTGATGTTTTGATGAATCAATGTAGTTACAATGACACGGATGCGACAAATAAAATTGAACAGTTTATTGGCAATAGTCCGAATTCGAACATTCTTGTTTAACGCATAGACCATATTTCTGCTAACACATCACTTCCTGTCAGACAGCTACAATGCGGGACCAGGCACACATATGCATCGCTACAAGTTGCTATACCTCATTAGCACAACACGATGAACACCAGATTCCTAGAAGCAGTTAATTTAGTGGTGATAGTATGTAAAAGATAGGTTGTATATAAGGATATAGTATAGGAAGGAAGAGAGTTATGAAGCAATTTTAATATCAAGGTTTAAGGGAAGATAAAGAGTGTATATACCTACGCCATTGTGATCGATTCTGAGTCATGTCACCCAGCGTCTACAACCACTGGTCACGATAGTCGCGCAGACCCCAACCAGGTAGTCTGCATCTACCAACATGGCTCAGACTAGAAAGTAGTGACTTCAAGCACTGATGCCAATTTTTGGTTTGACCGCCCCTAATTCCTTTCCAACCATCCCCTACACTAGTCAGTATAGCACGTCGTGGTGATCGGTGTTCAGGCACTTCCACATGAACATTGTTGAATAAGTAAAATGTATGGATCAATTGCGTGTTCTCGTCAATGATGAGATAGACATTGAAGTAAATGAAATACTCAGTCATATGTTGGTTTATTTCATTTTCTCAAATTTCAGTTAATACTTTCTTTCTATCACAAATACTCAGAGCGATAAGTAAGTAACCTATTGAATCAAATTTACTGACAATATTATGTGGAATACTATTTAACGGTGAAGTGGTGTATGAAGACGAAATATTGTGTGTTTGCATAATGGAAGTGCGCAAAATAGAGTTACGAACTACTACAGGACGGTTCATTAGATTTAATGCACAGTCGCTGTTGAATTAAAATATCAATTCAAATGGATATTTGAGATACAGTCCATTGATGTGTAGATCTCAATATAATTTTACGATTGCAGTTGACACCCGAACACATGATGATTTTCTGCTCCATAATTCTAGTCGAATCTACATCACATTTCATCAAATGAATTTGTACATGTTGATCAAGATCCATTAGACAGTTTCACGTTTGTCCAGTTGTTCATTTCAAATGTACACTTGTATGATTTATCATATTACTGATCATTCTGTTTGTTTCTGTTTGCATTCCAGCTGACGATGGAAACTAAATGAATTTGAATTTGCGAATGATGTACTGGACTGTTGTACCAATTAATTAATTGTCAAATTAACCAATCACAAATTTCTTCATTCATTAACAATATTCACCGATAATACCAACTAACTCTTATTTGTTTATGTTCAAAACATTGATGCAGTGAAAGATTGTAATGTGTGAAATTGAATGCCTATAAATCGGTGTTTGAATTTCATTATTGTTCACACACATCAAGAGTTAGACTAGTGGTTGATGGAAATGAGAATTTGTATGAGGGATATGGTGAATAAAAGTTAGACGAAAGTCATTCCTCAAAATGATAACCGATTCTTATGAATCACAATGTTAACTGCAATCTACACATCTCATTCGAAATTCTGAAACTAACTTCTTAAACCAGAATTATTGTATAAATATGAACTAACCAGTACCACTTCACTGTGGGTATCTCAAAATTTTTTAGTAAGCAATCATTTCGCTGCAGCAATCCGGTGTTTATATCACTGTCAGTTATGGTTCCAGTAAACTACAGACTCAATTTTGATCAGTGTTAGTTACCAAATTGTCATTCTGTGAGCACTGCCATGATATAATTATTGTCATAAGTAATTTTGAATTAATGGATTGTTCACACCGGTCAAACAAGTTACTGAACTCAGTGACTCAAGAGTTAATGTTTTATATAGATGATGTGAATTGGCACTAGGTTCGAGTCCCGGTGTGGAAATCAATACTGACGTACTTAACATTTATATATATTCTTTCTTCGTATTTCATTTTTTGTGTTGTGACGTCTTTTTTATGACTGACATTATTGATACTCAACGCGTGCATATCAATAACTGTCATTTTATTTGCACCAGTATCATCCGATGAATATTTGTCAACATCTCTGGAACTACATCAAATTCATCATTAACCAATTTTATTAGTACACATTGTCTTTCGGAAATGTTCGATGAAGTCCACGTTTTACGTCGATTTCTGTTAAATGAATTCAATGGTCTACCAATATCTTGTGATTTCGGTGCTAAATAAACGGAATCTTTCCTAATTGGTGTTCGATTTAATAGTGTGGTGTGGGTTACTGATGTCCACATAAGTAGTATATGGTGATGGTGAATGTATTATACTAGATCGATAAGGAGAAAACTGTTAAGGCACGTAATTGGTACGAAAATGAATGAACAATTATAATCAGATATTTGCAGAAGAATCAGTCGAATTGAGACAATTGAATGTTATTTTGCAAATTAACTGTTCACTATACGGTTCTCATATTTTAATGAGGTATTCTACAATGTTATGCAACAATACATTCCATTGTCCCCACCTGTGTTCTTGCTCTTTACATTTGGTGTCACTGCCAACCAGGGGGGGAAGAGTGTTGTTTTGTGGACGAGCTGGGGCTCTCGAGTTGAGGTGTTAGTCGGGTCAGTGTGGTACGGAGAAGTGACGTCGTGTGGAGTGTTCTGGAGCAACGGCGTTGGCTGTAGAAGGTCCTGCCGATTGGGAGGAGCGTTAGGACGTGTCCAGTTGATATAGGACAGTGAAGAGGACGAATATATAATTGTAAAGTCTCAGCGAATGAATTTGAAGTAAATCCAAGGAAAAAGCCTAGACCAGATTGCTATGGGGAAAAGGTGGATTTACTTCGAATTCATTTGATAAGGTTTTACAAATGCATTCTTCTTTTTGATAGTTGAATGCATAAGTCAATTGAAGCTAGACAACATAGGAAAACCTGGAAGCATAGAACGGCCGTTTGTTCTATCGTGGACTTATGCTTTCAACTATGGAAATACTAAATCTCCACAAAACCCCTTCTGATTCTTATTCCTATTAAAGAAAACTGAATCTTCGAAATGTAAATATTTTCATAGAAACATTTTTTAATTAAAACAACATTGGAGAATAGGCTTAACAAGAGATTGAAGATTTCTAAACCGGTTCAATTTTGAAAATTTCATAATCAACTCTTACTTACGCCTGTTACACCCAATGGAGCATAGGCCGCTGACCAGCATTCTGCAAACTATTCTGTCTTGAGCCTTCTTTTCTAGTTGTATCCAACTTTAGTTCATTCTTCTCATGTCTGCCTCCATTTCTCGGCATTAATGGACATCATCATTGTGCATATTATTTTAAAAAGCAAACCTTTATTTCTGTATTCCATATTATCCTTAAAGTTCGTGTATTGTTCGCTTTGATAACCGTTACTAGATAAGGCACCAACGGTGTATAAAACAGTCAGTGATTTTATGAACTGATACCATGTCTTGGTTTGGGTACCCTTTGCGACTGCATCATTTGGACGTAAAAGAACGAAGTAAATGTACTGAATATATTATTTGGCACCATCTCAGTTGCCCCATTTCATTTTCAACTATATGTTATACGGTTTAAATGTATCAGCCTCGATATTTTGAGTTAGAATTATTGTGTTACTATCTCATCACTTTGAGAATGACTGGTTAGACATACTTATACTGTAGTTAGTTAATCTAAAATATAACCTTATTTTGTCTGATACTTGAGAATTTCTACAAGCGATATAGATATAGTTGACAATTAGTAGCATCGAAACAGAATAATGAAATAGCTTAGGCGGATGGATCTAGTTAGTGAAACTTTTGATGAACCTCTTATTGGATTAACCATTACATATTCTAAACTAACTAGTGAATACCTATCCTAAAAAACAGCCGATTGAAAGTATATGCATCTGTTGATTGTTATGAGAACTTATGAAAGTGATAACGCGGGGCCGTGTTATAGCACCTCGATTGGGAGAGCGGATTCTCCTCACTCTCGACCGTACTAGGGCATTTGACGCTATACTTATTAGATTTGCCTGTGAGAAGAGAAATAACTAAATGACAAATGAATTCATGATATTTTACCAATGATATTATGGTCATCTTTGGAAAGACTGTATGACACTGACAAATCTTGAGGAAGCCAATCAAACTTAAAGTAAGAAATATTAAATTTTGTAAAAACCCGAAAAAAAACACAGTAAAGGATAGGATCTATATTATTACAAAAAAAATGTTGATAAATAGTTTAACAACTTCAACCACTTTACAACAAAATAATCCTATGGCCAATTTCGTGATTAAAAGAGGAAAACCCTCATCCTCCCTTACACTCCACTCATAAATCAGTGAAAATATTTTGCGGTAAAACAAACTTTGCGAATCACAAGAAAAAAATTTTATACCATGGGTTAAACAAGAAAAAAATGAAACATACAAAAGTGTTTGTGAATGTGTGTGTGTGAAAATGAAAAATTGGAAACCCATTGATAATTATACAACTTCATCTTACAACTATGAATAAGGATCTGACATTTTCTCTAAATATTGTATTAGAGTAGTAACACTTGGACAATATTTTTGTTCTGTTATCCAAGGTAGTTTTGTGAAATGTGTCTCACTGAAATCACATAAAGAAGAATAAAGAAGATATCAGAAATGATGATAATAATAATTTGTAATCGATAAATACATGAATGATTAGTAGAGAAATATGACACCATTGTATGTTTGGTACACAAATGACTCTAGCTGAAATCTCCCGACCGTTGCTGCTACCTTGACGTGATGAACCAATCGAAGTATACTGGCTGGAACAATCGTTCCTCAAGGTCCTACCATGCCAGACAGGTAGGTTGAAGAGTGGTAAGACTAAAAGCAGCAAACCCAAGGTCCGTAGGTGAAGTCGTACTGCTGACTGTACGGAGGTGTGATAACAGTAAGGTGTTTCCTTCCGACAACCAGCATGACAGCGATGCTGCCTTCCCACAAAGGCGGGTGTGGTTAGAAAAGCTCAACCCAAAAAATGCACACCTCGCTTTATCCCGCCGTTATCCGTCTCCGACTGTAAAGTCCTTTGAAGAACGGAACTCACAAAAAACTACCCACAAAAAGGTCGTGTGTGACCGACCTCAAGCAGTTGTCCCTTGAACACTGCGGTCACGCTTTCAGGTCATTAAGACCGCTTCTAAACACCTACCTCTGTCATATTTGAAATCCGAAACAGTAAATGAATTCGGAAGGTTTTAATTATTTATTTATTTAAACACATATATATTGGTACAAAAGGGCACCAGGTACATATGCGCCACACAAAATAATGGAAGTAGGAAGGAAAAGGATGAAAAGATAAGGCGGACTGAAATGTACAACCAGAAGACTCTCTCAGTTAGGAAAGTTAGAACCATTCTTTATGTAGAGAGTAAAAGAAGGTTGCAGCAGGATCGCCACTGGCTTCTATTCTGAGCCATATCTGATAACGTCTCTAGACACTGTGTTGCACCATCTCTCGGACCCCAACCAAGGAGTCGTGAAGGACCAACAGAAGCTAGCCCTTTGCAGCTCTCTTTCATTCCACGACACCATGTCATACACTGACCTCCTCTCCGCTTTCTCCAACCAGTACCAGGGTCGGCAAATAATGCACGACGTGGAAGTCTCTGGGACGACATTCGTAAAACATGTCCAAGCCACCGAAGTCGGTGTTTCAAGATGGTGACACCAATTGAATTATCGTCTCTGCGCCCGAACACACGATGCCGAACCTCTGCATTACTAACATGGTGTTGCCACTGGATGTCAGCAATCCTTCGGAGACAACGATGACCGAACACAGAGAGACGTCTAACATCCTCAACTCGGAGAGGCCAGGTTTCACAAGCATGGAGCAAAACTGCTCTCACCGACGCGTTGTAGATCCGACCTTTTACAGCCAGACTAACATCACGAAGGCGCCAAAGATGGCCCAGATTGGCATAAGCTGCTCTGGCTTTCATTATACGTGCATCAATCTCATCACTCACGCCACCACCAGCACTTATATAGATACCTAGATACACGAACTTCTCAACTACTTCGATCTCCTCACCATCCAGGGTGAGTAAAGGATGAGAATCCTGCCAGTCTTGTAGGAGTACTTTGTACTTGGAGGGTGCAAAGCACATGCCGTACCTGCGGACACTGATTGCCAACTGATTAAGTGCTGATTGCATGCCTTGGGCATTATCGCACAGTAAGACAATATCATCCGCATACTCAAGGTCGAGAAGTCGTTCTCCAGGCAACATATCCACACCGCCATTACTTACATCCATCAGAGCTGTTTCCAGGATGTCGTCGATGGCAAAAATGAAGAGGAATGGGGAGATCGGGCAACCCTGCCTAACCCCACTGCTCGAATGGAACAAGGGAGAAAGGTGGTTGTATGCCCTCACTCTGCCTGAGGTGTTCGTATACAGGGCCTTTAAGATGTTAATGAACTTCTCAGGCACACTCTTCTTCAATAGACAATCCCAGAGAACAGTCCTGTCCAACGAATCGAAGGCCGCCCTGATATCAAGAAACACTACGATTGTTGGCCTGCGATAAGTATGACGGTGTTCTAACATTTGGCGGAGGGTGAAGATGTGATCAATGCATCCTCGACCAGAACGAAAACCAGCCTGCTCCTCGCGAGTCAATCGTTCTCGGGTTTTAAACAACCTACGAAGAATGATAGAAGCCAATAGTTTGGACGTAATCGAAAGTAGACTTATCCCCCGATAGTTATTGCAGGAACAACGTGAACCTTTTTTAAAGATAGGGACGACTATTGACTCATTACATGATGTTGGAACACTTTCTTGCTCCCAAACCTTTGCAAACAATACAGTCAATTTCTTAGTCAGAAGGTCACCACCAACTTTAAAAAGAGCCAGAGGTAAGTTATCTGGGCCCGGTGATTTGTAACGTTTCAAGAATTGGAGTTCCTTGCGGACTTCCGCCTCGTTTGGTGGATCAGTCGTCACCGGCCATGGGGGGCAGGACAAGCTGGTTGATGTTGCCGGAGCAGCAGGCCAGTTGAACTGCCCTTCGAAAAATTCAGCCCATCGTCCAAGACGTCGAGAGGTGTTAGTGATCGGCATCCCGTCATCCTCGTAGATTGTTTCACTCACACCAGACTTCTTGCTGCCAGTGGTTCGGATGAGTTGGAAGAGCTTCCGGCAGTTACCAGATGCAGCTGCTGCTTCCATTTCATTAGCACGATCCGACCACCAGGCTTCCCGGTCCTCACGCAAGCTTTGCCCGATTTCATTACGTAACAGCCTTCGTTTGTGGTCAAACTCACGGTCACCCCGGGTAGACCGACGGGCTTCCATCAGTTGTAAGGAGCAAGAAGAGACCCAGTGCTTGTAAGCGGGACGTTTCGCGAAGCCACAAGCGGCTTTACTCGCCATTTTCATGGCGTCATGAAGATGCAACCAATGCTCATCTATACTTTTCGGTGGGGTGGTAGCTAGCCTAGAGGCTAACTTCGCTCGATACTCACTTGCAACAGAAGTTGCAGCCAGTTTACAAATATCAATATCCGTTGGTGGTGGTCAATCCTTCGGCCATTGAAAAGTAAGGTGAGATTGGCGCAGACCAGGGCATGATCAGACTCCAGATAGGTACTCCAAAAGGAGCGTCAGTCTTGTACAAAACCACGCCAGCGGTAGCTGATCGCGATGTGATCAATCTGAGTCCAGGCTTGGGATGCAGAGGGAGGACGCCAGGTGGCACACCGGCGATGACTGTGCCGGAAGTTAGTGCTGGCCAGAAACAGGTTGTGGTCTGTGCACAGTTGCAGCAAACGGTCCCCGTTATCTGTCCTGCGACCAACAAGTCCCCATCGGCCACCTAGACGACTTTCTTCTGTGCCTAGACGCCCGACCTGTGCGTTCAAGTCTCCGGCTAGTACTACAATATCTGTCGAACGCGCTTTCTGGAGAAGAACTGTTAACTGATGGTAAAACTCATCCTTGATTGCATCCGGGCTGCAATCTGTCGGGGCAGAATTCGGAAGGTAAAAGAAGCTATACTAGTAGGCTTAGTGTTTTTTATAGAGATCAGAAGCTTCTACAAAATTGATATTAGATATTCCATTATAATTTGAGCATTAAGTCAGTTAATCTAAAGGTAACCATAAACTGATGAGGAAGAGGAGGAATGAGAAATTAATATTAAAAATTTATGCCTAACTAGTGATCAGACGATAACAAGGAAATAGTTTGAATGCTAGAGCTTCAGTCTGTAGACGAAACAGAAGAATGATTTGAATTAAAGTAAGAGCATATACTAAACAACTAAATGGTATTATTGTTTCGTCAATGTTATCGAAGAACGATCCCACATCATTTCGTGCGGTAGAAGATAGAATAAACAATGACTTGATCGAGTGCAGTATGAATGACACATGAAAACAATATTTTTCCAATCATCTGTGGTATGTAATCAGATCCAGAGAAGAATAATCCAGCATTATCAACTCTTTATATCTGCTGGTTAGAGATGTTCGGTTGTATGGTAGATAAGGTAAATATGTGTTCATACAGTAAGTTATTATATAATTAATGTTATATAATATTCAGTCTCATTTATACAAATCTGACTGTGGATGAATCATTAAATAAATCCATATCAGCAGTCTTTGTGTTTTCAATACGCGTCGTCGGATTTAGGGTTTACAGTACCAAGTATAAGTCAGTTGGCCCAGCATTCCACAGAAATAAGGGTGGCAGATATAACATGTGAGAGTTGGCTTTTGCATTTCTAAGAAAAGTTTACAAAAAATTGCAGTCGCTAAAAGTTCTGATTATTTTCCAATGTGGGATATAGCTTAGGCACATAAGCTAAGGCAAGTGATTTGCTTTGACGATACTAAAAGGGTTTTCAGCAAAAACGTTCAATCCAAAAAACAATGAAGCAACATCTGTCTTATGGTATCTGGTGACCAAAAAAGAATAGTACATTTGTTTGTTAAAAACGTTGAAACTTATAAAGACCATTAGTTTCAAACCAGTTTCCTACAAATCCTGTAGGTGAAATCTCCGCAGCCACCAACCCGATTAAAGGGTGAAACCTCTGGTTTCATCTTATCTTTGCAAAGTAGTAAGACATCTCTCGAGGATGCTATAAACCAGCAGCTAGATACGAACCATTTGATTGGAAGAGTGGGGACTCTTTCCACCATCAATCGAATCAGAGCTTTAGAGAACATAGTCTAAAGGCACTTATGTAGTAAAATATTTCGGAGCTGGAAACCTTCAAAACCAAGAAACCTATTTATATTTCTTGTCTTTGCGTCACACTTCAAGTGTGAACAGCAACGATAAATACCTAGCTAATCAAACATATGCCACGTAATTGTCGAAAAACTGAAGCTGTAACCACTATCGAAGTAGCACGTAAATAAGGCAATTGAGGTCATTAAGGCAAGAAACTTTCAACCACTCGATCGACAGTTCAAACCCATCTTCCCTTAGACAATGAAAATAGAGTACTTGAAAGACCCAGACTGTACCAATTGGTACTTTGTAATTGCTCTGAGTTATATTACTGAGCTAAGTAATCACAACAGTGTACTCACGTGAATGATAAGTGTTCACTTTCTGGTAAATCGAAAGTAGATTCAGATTTCAATCGGTTGAAGTAATACAATTTTCCAGTACTCCGACTAATCTCTTCAGTCCAATTATCTGTAAGCAAACAAAAACAAATAGAAATGTCAAGTTTCATTTATAAGTGAACAATAATTAAGCAAAACATGATGATGCTATTTAGATCATGTAAAAAGTCACCTGATGTAAAACATATAATGAAACCGGTTCAAGATGAGGCATAATCTTTTATAAATACTTTGGGACAGAAAAAATTGTAGTTGATATTTTATTACTATACATTCGTGTAGTCTTTTGAGAGCGAATGTGCAACATAAAAGGTAGTATTTATCCACAACTATTCATCGGTATCTTAGGAAAAGAACTCGAGTGTGGAAAAACAATCGACTTTCTTTCCTATCATTGAATTCAGTCAGTCAGTCACAACGGGTCAAGTTGTCATATTCCATCAGCACAAATTCATGAAGTTGTTAGGCCAAGTCTCACGATAGTAGACGTAGTAACAGTATCGCTGCTAATAGAAAAAATTACGCATTGAGGATAAGACTCGAAAATAAAATATAAACGAATGAAATAATAACACAAAAACGTTGTAGGGGATTGTGAAACTCAGGTTTCTTGAAAATAAACGGTAACTGAAGTGTGTTCGAAGGCCAATTGAACTGTCCATTAAAGTAGGTATCATTACCAAGGTTTGATTTGATAATTTCAAAAAAAAATTATTGAGCATTGAGTAGATTGTTATAAATGAGAAAAAATATATTTGTAATATCCCAGGAAATCTAGTTTTTCTACTAATTAGGATATTACAAATATTATTCGTTCCATACAGTGTTCCGCCGATCCGCTCAATTTCCTGGTTTGAAAGTGCATAATAGTCCAGCTCGAACTAGAGCATGATCCGAGTGTAAACATGTGCTTCAGAACGAGCGACAGCTTTCAATCGAACGCCTCCAACAATAGCTGATGACAATGTGATCTATTTGAGTCCTTCGTTAAGTCTGTTGTGGAGTTCGACATGTCAGACGATATTTTTCCTTATTCTCAAAGTTCCTGTTTGACAGACATAGACATTGGTCTGAGCATAATCACAACAAATACTCGCCCTTATCTGTTCTTTAATCTTCAATACTGTGAGATCCTGCCACTATTATTAAGTCAGAGCGGTTAGCTTTCTGAAGAATGATGGATAGCTTCCTATAAAGTTCATCAGAGTCGCAATCAGTGGAAGCGTAATTAGAAACAACGAAAAGGCAACGACGTGTGTACCTATCTTTTCCAGTTCCTACTGTCACGTTTCATCGAGCAGCGTACAGGCGACTGTTTATTGGAGTCCACTTTAACAGAGCCTGTACTGATTTAGAACTTGGTGCCTACTTACACCAACAAGATCACGGGAAGTAATAGTAGGGTCTCCAGATACTAGAAGTGTAACCAATATTAGTTCTTCATATTGACAAAATGGATTCAAATGAATGATCGTACTTCGGTCATGTATGCGCGATTCGGAGAGGCAGCAAACATTGATGGCGCGGGATACTGGAATCCTAGATAAAGAAGCCTGTTTTTATTTCTGACACCAGATTCGAACACTGAAAGCTCCAACATGTAGTTTAGAGCATAGTTTCAGGAGACCGAATATAACATTTCGTGAACCCAACACATCAGCATTGGTAGCGTGTGATGATAAAGATAAATAAGAAGGGTAAGTCGTGGGGGCGGAAGAATTATTAAGACATGATGCAGGGTTTCGATCGTCAACAAGACGATCTTGGGTGCTGATAAAGACATGAGGGCCGTTGTCACTTCCCGATTGTTCACTGTGCAGAAGCTTGAAGAAAATAGAAGGGAGGAAAATTAACCAGATAACCTACTTGGGATTTAGACGATTATCGCGACCGATGATAAGAGATGTTGGGTGAGAGCTCAGAATCAATTGCAATGGCCCAGATGTTTTCACTATTCATTTTACTTTAAGTCATGATTTTCAAGATCCTTTTATCAATTTATTTCGTGGATTCACTCGTTCTTCACAAATCTTATTCTTTATCCATAGAGAATTTTGGATAACATAGCTACTACCAAGAGTACTTAGGTATTCATCTGACTGTGGTGTTGTATTGTGACAATTTACAGATTGATAAACATATATACAAAGTTGCATATTACACACTGATCATATGGGATCATGATTTAGTACTGTGAATAAGTAGTTAAACTACACGAACTACCTATCTAGAACATTTTTGAGTTTACAGCGAATTTCTTTCAGCCTAATATCAAGTGTTTGATAACAATCATCTTTAAAATGAAAATGATAGCCAAAAGATTGACAAGCAACTGTAAAAACATGGCATAACAAAACAAAAAACATAATTCAATAAAATAGTCAACAGAGAGACAACGGAAACATGGTAAGCGAATGAGTTTGTGGTAGATCAGTGCAGTAATCATAACCCAAACCAATTGTTAATATCCTACATACCTGTCATATGTTGTACTAGTAGCAACGAATGTGGTTGGAATGTAAAACCGTCGGGTAAACAATGCATTGGCACAAGTGTTGGTGAATCTTTACATGGTAGAAGAGGTAGTCTATAATAGGGAACAAATAAAAAAAACAATTGAACAGAATATATATGTATATATACATATACATGGTGCTAATAAAACACATATACTTAGAAAATGTAGCACCATAATTCCTCTCAATAAGTAATAAAACAAACGAAAATTGGGGGGAGTGACTATAGAATACAAATTTATGGCCGCACAAAGCTCATTCGATTTGTGTGAGGGCTGTGATACTGCCCGGTTGCCAAAACCAAAGTAGATGGTTCTCTTAAGGGACCACACTCAGAGCCTTCGACCGAGAGGTCTGATCCACAAGGCAGTGGAACATCATGAGGAGATGCAGTCCCGTGGTAGTCGGTGACCAACGATTAGTTCATACGCCATTTGTTACGTCAGGATACTGGAGCCCATGTGTACCATAGGTTTGGAACGAGGGTTTTCCAACTCCCCTAGGTAAACGTTTTGTGTCCACTAACCCGGTTAAAGCGCCGGACATTAGTTTTCCGTTCTCTCAATTTCGTTAATAACATCGGTGCCACGAGAAGGCAGTTAGTATGACCTCTCTGGCAGAGGCTGTTTATGTGTGGCCGTGTGAGAGAGTTTCGAGAGAGAGAGAGGGAGGGTCCTCCCCATTCTCGATCGCATCAGGGCATTTGGGGGCATTACTTAGGTAACTTAATTTTGTAATTCCCGAATGATAAAATGCTTAGGTGAGATGATGTTGAATAATGAAGACAAGAATAGTCTTGAAACTAGTTACAGTCAGTCAGTCAGCTACAACGTAGGACCAGGCACATTTCACAGATATATGAATACATTTTAAAAGTAGATATCACGATAATTTACTTGAATAAGGATGAACTAGAATAGTTACAGAACTTTATGGAACATTGGAAGTATGTATAAGTGTTCTTGATCTGCAATAAAACATTCGATTCATGATTATATTTCTATCCTTTTAACAAATTTCATTGAATATGTAAACACATTACGAATGGAATATTGTAGATTATTTCGACTGTCTCATTAACATCACATCAACATTGATGGTACTGTACATGTAATGCATTTTAACTGAGTGTCTCATGATTTCTAATTTACTTGAGACTGCATCTCTCACGATGCTCCACTGTCTTGTGGATTAAACATTCAGGTAAAAGGCTCCGGGTGTGGCACCCTAAGAAGACCACCTGTTTCCATTTGGGCACCTGGGCAGTATCATGGAACTCACACAATTACATGAAATGAAAATTTTTGTGTAGCGCAAATATATCTGGTGCTGCCTTGTACCAATATTTATGTGCTTAAATACATAAATGAATAAATAACATACTTGTCACAAACATTTTTATGCGATATATATATATGAGAAAACGTGACAGATCACTCCTTATGAGGCTGTGGGATAACTACTACCGGATGAAGTGAAAGAAAGAGTGATTGAGAATAGGGGACATCTCCAAGGTAACACCTCTCCGAAAAACTAAGTATGGGAATTTTTATTCAGCGGTGCTCCTGGATTATTAGTTGGTGTATTGACCCATAATGAAGAAACTCATCTATCCTCAAATCTCTGGACGGTAAGTAATAAGCAACGTTATATATAGTACACATATGTTTAAAATTAAAATTCTACACGGAATGGAATGGAGACCTATTTAAGCGACAAATATCACTGAAGATCTTTCTTCAAAAAAGAAACGACGACGAAACTCTTTTCATTTTAATTTTATTTCTGAACTGATTACCAAAATGCGTAAATGTTTGTTGACATTAACATAATTTCTGAACGCTTTCAGAATTTCAAAATATTATATTTTCTGACTATATTTGGGAGTGAACTTAGTATATTTACGACTCATCAGTTTAATCTACTTAAGTCAGTGTTAGTAGCATCCACGGTTTCAAATGCAATTGCAGTCTCCATAAAACTATTTACACCTGAGTCAGTCAGCTACAACGTAGGACCAGGCATATTTATGCATCGGTATAAGTTGCCATACCTCGTTAACACAACAAGATGAACACCAGATTCCTAGAAGCAGTTAATTTGGTGGTGATAGTATGTAAAAGATAGGTTGTATATAAGGATATAGTATATAGTATAGTATATAGTATATATATAGTATATAGTATATAGTATATAAGGATATAGTATAGGAAGGAAAAATGTTATTAAGCAATTTTAATATCAAGGTTTAAGGGAAGATAAAGAGTGTATATACTTACGCCATTGCGATCGATTCTGAGTCATGTCACCTAGAGTCCCCAGCCATTTGTTGTAATAATCACGTGGACCCCAACCAAATAGTCTGCATCTACCTACGTGGCTCAGACTAGAAGTTGATGACTTTAAGCACTGATGCCACGTTTTGGTTTGACTGCCCCTAACTCCTTTTCAACCATCCCCAATACTAGTCAGCGTGTTGTGGTAATCTGTGTTCAGGCATACGTAACACGTGGCCTAAACATCTCATAGAAGTAGTCTATTTATTCCTAATAGACATTAACATGAGCAGTTAGTATGATATTTGATGAAGATTTTCCAGTTTCATTGATACATTTATCATTTCTGCAGAATACCATATGTTTAACCTCAGTGTTTCTCACCTGGTTATCGTCACACACAATACCCTAGTAATGAGAGGGGGTCTGGTGAAGACTTCAGTAATTTTATAGAGTTGAGATCATGAGTCCATTGAAGCTAGACCACCATGGAAAAAACCTGGAAGCACTGGACGGCCGTTTCGTCCTATTACGGGACGCCTCAACAGTGCGCATCCACGATCCAGCACTCGCGAGAATCGAACCCACGACATACCAGCCTCGAGCGACAGCCGTTAACCGATAGACAAGAACCCTAGCAATGGTTCGAAGATATATCCACGACTAGAATTTCGCATCTCAGCCATATTGTCTACTTTCATACATAAAGTTTGACATTCATAGAGTAATACATATACAATATACAAAAGCTTTTATAAACATGTAAACACATTTTAAAATAAGAAGAAAAAGCGGGCAAAAATTATACAACTTACTTTTTTACATAATTAACTAGTTCTGATAATCTTAGAAATGGTGGTACACGAACATTGGATGAAGTCATATCTGGAAAATTAATTATATTGGTCATTTGTTCAGCTAGTTCCATTCTAACAAAGAAAACGTATGTTGGGAGAAGGAGAAGAAGAAGAAGAAGAAGAAGAAGAAGAAAAGAATCATAAACATCGATGTTGTAAATAAAGTTATCATTTATTAAGTATGTTTGCTGTACATCAATACGTAGTAAAACCTAGTAAATGTATATGGATCGGTACATGTTACCATACTATTTATATGAGAACAGTACAGTGAAATTATAAAAACAAATGCCATAGTAGAAATAGTCACACTGTTGAGATGATCCTGCAAATTTTTCGCAATCGACATGACAAGCTCAGGAAATTGTAAGAAACATTTTATCCAATCAGTGTTTGATTGGAAGTTTAGCTAGAAATATCGTGAAAATCAAAGTCACAGAGGTTCTGATTGGTTGATTATTACACTGCTACTATGTTTAGTAGTATTCTAGAATTTCCAGTGAAACCCAAGGACTTTTAAATTACTATGAAAATCCTATATTTTCTGTACATAAATGAACCTTTGGAGTAAAGTGCTACTCGTATATTTTGCGCCTTTTCTCTCACATTCAAGACGCTGTGTAGTTCTAGCTTGGGGACTACGAAACTAGCTTAGGATCCGAATATAGCGTTCAATCGGTAAGACGTATCACACACAATCAGTGGTATTAATAGAAAAATCTGGGTATAGACGATATGATTCCAGAAGGATAAATTCCTAGATTGAAAAAAGCATAAGATAACCATGAAATTCAGGGACCTAAGTGGAAGCAAGGATTGAATTTATCTTCATTATTGTAACTGATTCTGAGTCATATTATCTAACGTCTCCGACATCAAGTTACAGTGATAGTGTGAAACGCAATCAGATGGTCTGTCTATCAACAGGACCTCAACAATCTATAACACCATGGACTGATCAATAATAAACATGTATAGACTTGTAATTTCGTTCACATAATTGCGTAACAATGAGAACTCGTCAATTGAAACTTAAAAATACATTGGACACTAATACATTTAACTTTCAAGACTAAATGACAATCACAAGTTCCAGAAATATTTGATGACTAAAATCCAGTAACATATTGGTTTGTGGATTGATCAGTTAATTAATCGTAAACAGTATCGAATCTGACATTGTTCTTATGAGTCTGTCTCCGAAACAGTGAGAGACGATGTTAACAAGATAAAAACTTAAAGAGTAGATACATAAACAACGAAAAGAATATAATCTGTAAATGAATGAGTAAATGATTTCAGAGAATGAAAAATCGTCACGTGCTTGAATCTGTCTACCCACTTTAGTGCCGAGTATAACTTCTGTAATGTAGATTAAGACCTTGACGTGATAGGCTGACTGGCTTAACCTTGAGGCTAGTATGCGTGAGTTCGAAGTGGGGGTAGAGAGACGAAAACTATTCTATCCCTGATTGGCTGGCAAGCAAGCGCGCGAGAGAGAAGACAAGGACAACTGCAACGCTAATCACTTTATTCCAATCCCGATCTAGCACTCGAATTCCGAATAATTAGGGAAATACAATTATGTCCAGAACTGGGGAGAATAGAGTAGAAAATAGAGTACAAAAGATTACGTCTAAATTACAATAGCTTTGGAACAGAAAATGTTATGGCAGTGAATCGTACATCAAACGAAAGCTTATGATCTGTAGAATAGACTAGGCACAAAAGTAAATGTTACAGTTACAGTTACAGCGGTTCACATGAAAAATAATTACAAACAACCAAATAGACAAAGATAAACAATGAACAATTCCGCACCGCTGCAACAGAATCATCTCCTACAGCGGATATTTCAAGTAGCAAATAGATATCAGGACATCCTCAACACACCTCGAAATAACTTCATTCATTGATAAAACACAACTAATTGTCAGTGGTTCTAGACTCTCGTCAACTTACTACTTCTCTATATAATAGAAACAACTGGACATCTAAAATAGTTAAGTAGGTAGAAGTTGTATATCTAAAGAAGTTGTCTCAACAGTAATAAACATGAGTATATTCAACGATTATATCTTAAACCAATAGGTGAAATAAACACAAAAACAACATCTAATTACCTCTTCCTGTATGGTAATTTACGACAATCTCGACCGTAGATGCACACAACATCATATATAAATAAACCGTGTTTTCGTAAACCATTCTATAAAGATCCAGAGAGCAATACAAAAAGAAGGCTTTTAAGACTTTTAACACACATAATAACGAAAGTTACAAGCATAATTTATTATCACATGAAATGAACGATACATGCACACACACTTGTTACCAGACGTATAGTAGTTTATGACTAACTTTAATGAAAACGGATTTCACCGGTAAAAGTCAGCTTCTGATTAGATGCAACTGACTAAACAGATATAGAATTATGAAGAACTTAATAATAATTGTTATTAATGAATTAAGTAAATCGCAGAGTATCACAGTTCCTGACAAATCATTGTTGATGGTATTTTTAAGAGATCAAAATATCAGCATCATCTCATAACATAGACGAAGGACAGGTATTGTTGAAGAAAATCTTTCGGAAATTTGTTTTTTTTCTCCAAACTAATTAATTTTAATTCATTAACCAACTGTAGATTATAAGCCATTGGACGTCCATGATATACAACTAGCCGACTGTCGCACATATTGCATTGATTGACTGTAAGTACTTATAGTTCACATACACAAACTGACCTTAGTCAGACAGCTATTGAAAACCAGGAAGTATTGGACAGATTTTTCATCCTGCGATGAAAATCCTCAGCAGTGCGAAACAGCGATTTCGCGAAGGATATGTCGAGATCAGAAACTGCAGGTCTAGTAGATAGCGTCCAAACTCCCCTAGGTGGACTCTCCGTGTCCACCAATCCGGTTAAAGCGTCGGATATTCGCTTTTCGTTCTCTCAATTTCGTAAACAACACCTCCGCCACGAGAAGACACTGAGTAGGACTTCCTTGTCAGCGGCTGCATACGCGTGTTTATATGAGAGCATTTCGAGAGGGAGAGCGGACTATCCTCACTCTCGACCATACCAGGGTCAGCACGAAGCGTTGACTGTTGCTATTCGCTTCATCACTTTCAATGTAACTTTTTAATCGAAATATTCCAAGATAAGACAGTTTTGTGATTTTAAGGAACCATGAGTAGATGGTTACTATTGTGAATCTTAGGTATAATTCCATATAGAATTCGATTACATTTGTGAATCAATCAATTATAATTCCATAAAATTAAATTGAGTTAACTCATTCACCAGGTAATTGAATATGTGTGATTCACATCAAAAATAATTACAAACAACCAAATAGATAAAGATAAACAATAAACAATTCCGCACCGCTGAAACAGAATCATCTCCTACAGCGGATATTTCAAGTCCCAAAGTAGATATTCGCCAAATAACATCAGGACATCCTAAACACACCTCGAAATAACTTCATTCATTGATAAAACACAACTAATTGTCAGTTGTTCCAGACTCTCTTCAACTTACTACTTCTCTATATAATAGAAACAACTGGACATCTAGAATAGGTAGGTAAGTAGAAGTTGTATATCTCTCAATGTAATCGCCATCATGGGGCGAAGAGAAGAATCTACCGTTGTTCTCGATACTCGCCTACACAGGAAGCCGAGAAACCGTGCTCAATGTGGGAGATTTTTTTGAACAGTCTCGGCATAGGAAATTCAGCAACTAAAAAGACTGTAAAACCTCAAGAACATCCTATTGGGAGATCACGACGGAAACGCAAAGTACTTGATGTTATGCAGATGGACCCAAAGAAAGGAGCATATTTTTTACGGGGGGAGATTTCGATGATGATATCTTAGCTGCTTGCAAATAATGACTAACCACTTTTCTTTTTTTTCCTGTTTACAACAGTTAACCCAATTGGTCACGACCACAACACCATCCAGTTTCCTTTATGTACTCAATCAATGGCAGTGATAACATAAATTTTTTTTGACAAGGGGGAAGATGATGTGAACCGCGAAACAAGAAGCCGTAACAAATTACGGAAGCTATTTTTGAGGACGTTATTTCAGTTAGTTCAAAGCTTGTAAAAACTGTAACATTTACTTTTGTGCCTAGTCTATACTACAGATCATATGCTTTCGTTTGATGTACGATTCACTGTCATAACATTTTCTGTTCCAAAGGTATTGTAATTTAGACGTAACCTTTAGTACTCTATTTTCTACTCTAATCCCGCCAGTTTTTAACATAATTGTATTTTTCTAATCATCGTACGTTGTGGTCAGGTTATTCATCTATTTATTCATGTAACTTTTCACCCTTATCGGAATTGGGAATTCGAGTGCTAGATCGGGATTGGAATAAAGGGCTTAGAGTTCCAACTGTCTTTGTCTTCTCTCTCCCTCGCGTGCTTGCCAGCCAATCAGGGATAGAACTCACGCATACTAGCCTCAAGGTTAAGCCAGTTCAGCCTATCGGATCATGGTCTTAATCTACATTAGACAAGTCATACTCGGCACTAAAGTGGGTAAAATTAAAGGACGTAACATGAAGATATTAATAAAGGAGTCAGAAGTTAAGAATAATCTTGAGTACGGATAGAATTAAAATATCCAACGGTGTTAATGTCTAAAATGTATAAGTAACTGATTTGAATACGGTCTCACTTATTTCGGTTTACACACGCTGATAGTATCATTAGTTTCTTATGGGAGAAGCATAACCCCTACTCAAATGATGCAAACATCTGTAGGCTTTTAGTGAGATGTACTATTCTATTAAATTAGTATCGTTACATCCTTCATTTAGTCCATTTGTAATGATGAAATTCAACTGTTTTAAAGGTTCGATCGAGCTTACTTGACTAAAAATGTGTTCACTAAGATCCTATCATATTAGAAAGAACATTTAAATAAATGTAGAAGAAAAGCAGAAAGTCTTAGGTTTTAAAGTGAATTTGTATTGCTTAATACACCACGATGTAGTGGTCGAGATGCATGTTCCACAGATAAACAATGCCGCCAGCGACTATGCTCACTCACATACAAAAGATCGATTAGAATAGTAACAAATATCGATCACCTTACAGTGACCTGACGTAAGCAGTCTAATAGAACAGTGAAGAGTATTCACTTTCTCAATACTGACCTATCCTAACAAACAACTGTCTCAAGAAGGGCATTATTGTTAGAAGTGCTCGTTATTTATGGAATAATTTCGATTCTAGACCTGACACATGTTGTTCATAGTTTTATCTTTACTCAACCGACCTGACTGGATGGTATCATAAGGTGTGAAAGAAACAATTTTATTCTAATCGTCCCGATAATTGGACACTCAAGATATTAATAAAGGATTATAATTCTCAGAAGTTAAGAATAATCTTGAGTACGGATAGAATTAAAATGCCCTATCAGTCAACCATTTAATGCATAAAACATAAAATCATCTCTAAATCCAACGTTTCGCCTGGCAATCTGATACAAGCTTTTTCAAGGAAATCGCCAGACGAAACGTTGGATTTACTTCAAATTCATTCGCCGAGATTTTACAAATATATTACTGCTATTAAGTGTCTTACATCAAACCGGCGTCTAAATACTGTAAAACTATTCGCTCTAATTTAGACGAAAGTCCTTATATGAAATCATCCCGTTGAGTTATAAAGTTATGTCTTTTGATTCATTATGACACTGGCGAATACTGAGAAAGCAATTTTCGAGTAGGAACTGAAACAAAAGGCAAAGAAAGAGAACAGAATAAATATAAACTGTCCAATATTAACTTACACCTAATAAACGACGAATAATTGCTGAACGATTAGTGGATAATAAGGGCCAAGGGACAGGTCGACGTTCTGTTATTGGAATCTCGAAAATAAAACCAATTAATTATAGAAAAGTTATGTGACAATAACAACAAACATTTGATATATATCTTAATCTTATTTTCCAGTGCAGGTTATCTGGACTACATCACTTTTCTTTAAATAGGGACTGGTGATACTATTCGAACATCCGATATATAAAAAAAGATTAAACGAGTTTCTAATATGTGTTGTGCTTTTGTTGTGAATAGATAAATAAAGAAGCCATGACGAACAACAGAAGAGAATTTCGGAAACATCACTTATTTCAATGTTTGTAAAATATTTACATTCAGTTTGGTCCCTAGGTTATTTTATAGACCATAAGCTTTAGTTTGATGCATGATTTACTACCGTACCCTTTTCTATTTCATAGCTATTACAATATTTCGAACTCTATTTTTCCACCCTAACACCCAGTTTGGACATAACTGTATTTTCTAATTGTTTGTGAGTCTTGGTCGTTATGGTCATCTATTTATTTATATATATTTTTACATAAACCTAAATCAAGGATAAATCGAGGTATCCCAGTTGACTCGTCTTCTCTCTCGCTTGCCAACCAATCAGGTAATAGAATAGTTTCCGTCTCTCAACTTAAGGCCACTAGTCTCATTTCGGAATCACGCATTTCCAGCCTCAAGGTTGAACTAGTTATCCTATTGTACCAAGACCTTAATCTAGATCGAGGTAAGTTCTCTCTTGTATATTATTGGGTAGACAGATAAAGGAGGTAACAGTTTTACGGTCGGATTCAATGAACGGTTTTATGGTCAAAAGACCGAACGACTAATGCTGCAACTTACGTGTACATAAAGCTTGTAAAACTGTAACATTTATTTTATGCCTAGTCTATTCTACAGATCATAAGCTTTCGTTTGATGTACGATTCACTGCCATAACATTTTCTGTTCCAAAGCTATTGTAATTTAGACGTAATCTTTTGTACTCTATTTTCTACTCTATTCTCCCCAGTTCTGGACATAATTGTATTTCCCTAATTATTCGGAATTCGAGTGCTAGATCGGGATTGGAATAAAGTGATTAGCGTTGCAGTTGTCCTTGTCTTCTCTCTCGCGCGCTTGCTTGCCAGCCAATCAGGGATAGAATAGTTTTCGTCTCTCTACCCCCACTTCGAACTCACGCATACTAGCCTCAAGGTTAAGCCAGTCAGCCTATCACGTCAAGGTCTTAATCTACATTACAGAAGTTATACTCGGCACTAAAGTGGGTAGACAGATTCAAGCACGTGACGATTTTTCATTCTCTGAAATCATTTACTCATTCATTTACAGATTATATTCTTTTCGT